TTGCTTTTTTAGTTATTTATTATGTACATAACTTACTAGACCTAGTGCCACACATACATCTCACGTATACAAATATTTATATTTATTTCTGTACTCCGTACATGTATTCACTCATATTGCATCGAGTAATAGAGGATTTGATTTCCGCTTCAGTATGAGCTTATACAATATCTACATTGCCAAATAAAATTAAATTAACAAATCAATTAACAGTATCTCACACACAAACAAATGCATAAGAATTGTGCCATTCATATGCTTTTTATGCTATTCATGGTTTTGGTTCATTTCAGGATGCTGCAGAATATGCTGAATGTGAAGCTGTTGTGAAGGATTTCCTTCCTTTTCGGGATGCAATGAGAAAGAGAGGCATTGCGGATATGGATCTTGTGATGGTTGATGCCTGGTAAGTTTTTTAACAATTCTCTTCACCCGGTGCATTTCTTAGCTTCCAATGCCATGTTTGCCTACTAGTATACTACTAATTTTCCCTTCTTGTTTAGGTGTGTTGGTTATCACAGCGAGACTGATGCACCTACACGCAGACTTGCAAAACCGCTAATTTTCTGTAGAACTGAGAGTGATTGCCCGATGGAAAATGGTTATGCACGTCCAGTAGAAGGAATTTACATCCTTGTGGATATGCAAAATATGGTTGTTGTAGAGTTTGAAGATCGTAAGTTGGTTCCCCTACCCCCGGTTGATCCTTTAAGAAATTACACTCCTGGGGAAACCAGAGGTGGGGTAGATCGAAGTGATGTGAAGCCACTTCATATTGTTCAACCTGAAGGTCCTAGCTTCCGTGTTGATGGACACTTTGTTCAGTGGCAGAAGGTAATTGGTTTTTGTGTGGCAGCTATCAAATCTCTAAATGTTTTTACTGCAATATGCAGATGGATTTTCTGTAATTCAAATCTGTTTTTTTGTCAGTGGAACTTCCGTATTGGCTTCACCCCCAAAGAAGGTTTAGTTATCTACTCAGTTGCTTATGTTGATGGTAGTAGAGGCCGAAGGCCTGTAGCTCACAGGTTGAGCTTCGTGGAGATGGTTGTTCCTTATGGGGATCCAAATGATCCACACTACAGGAAAAATGCATTTGATGCAGGGGAAGATGGCCTTGGTAAAAATGCACACTCACTAAAAAAGGTCTAGAGTACATCTTACTGCATTTATAGATTATTATGAGCCTGTTTGGTAAAAGTCTAAAATGAATGAATTGGCAGAATATGCTGAGTTTGATGAAAATGTGATTGAATTATCTATTAACATAAAATTAATTTCGTAAAGAAATTGAAGAAATTTGTATCTTGAAATCAGTTAGCACATTCAAATTGGTTACACTTTTGTGAAGATTCTGGATGATAAATTGGAAAAAGTTTTATGCTAAATAATGAGTACTATTTTGTAGCATGTTTACTGTGCTTGACAATATAATGCTAATTACTTGAAAAGTTTTGCTTTTGTTGCAGGGCTGTGATTGTTTAGGCTACATCAAGTACTTCGATGCACACTTCACAAATTTTACAGGAGGCGTTGAAACAATTGAAAATTGTGTTTGCATGCATGAGGAGGATCATGGAATCTTATGGAAGCATCAAGACTGGCGAACTGGCTTAGCTGAAGTAAGGCGTTCAAGACGACTCACTGTCTCTTTCATATGTACTGTGGCTAACTATGAATATGGTTTCTTCTGGCATTTTTATCAGGCAAGTTATTTGAGCTCTTATAGTTCGACAGAAATATAAATCTTTCATTTATATTTCCACTTGGATATTTTTGTTCATATTTCAAAGACTTCACTTTTCATCACAGGATGGAAAAATTGAAGCTGAGGTTAAGCTTACCGGTATTCTCAGTCTAGGGGCTTTGCAGCCCAGTGAAGTAAGAAAGTTTGGGACAACAATAGCACCCGGTTTATATGCACCTGTTCATCAACACTTCTTTGTGGCTCGCATGGACATGGCTGTTGATTGCAAGCCTGGAGAAGCACATAACCAGGTTTGTGTGTCTATCTACTGTCCACTCCAAAGTCCAGAAGCGAATGTTAACGTTCTGATCTTTAAAACTCATCTTTTGTTTTCTTCATTCTTGTTATATACGGAGCAGTTAATTTAAAATTTACAAAACTGAATATTGTGGATTATGCTTGTCACTACTGACAGTGACACGAATGTCTGTAAAGGACCACAGACAAAATTGTGTGAAATTTGTATTGTTAATTTAGTTAGTGTTATACTGAAAATTTCCCATTAGCAGTCAACTATTGTGTCAGTTTTGGTCCTTGACCCCCCTCCCCCACTTATGGTTGGCTACTATTAAGTTCTTGCAAATGTTAGTCCTTTCGGTCACTTATCCTGCCAATTTCTAGTTTGTTTCACCTCACAAGTGATCAATATAAAGTCTCAAGTAATACATAGTCTTGCACCAAAAAGGGAAACAATAAAAGTTGGGACCAACTCAAAATGACTTATTAGCAATGGGAGCAAAATTGAAATATATTCTATGCTACTATCAATTAAAGCAGTCCTTGTCCATCTGTAGGTGGTTGAGGTAAATGTTAAAGTTGAAGAGCCGGGAGAAAATAATGTTCATAACAATGCATTTTATGCGGAGGAGAGATTGCTCAAAACTGAACTGGAGGCCACGCGCGACTGTAACCCATTATCTGCTCGCCACTGGATTGTAAGAGTTCTTACTCTTCTTCAATTTGGTGATGTAATGAGAGTTAATATCCTGTTTAGTCCGTCAACTATTCACTATCCACTCAATTTGGTCCTCTCTTTTTTCGGCCTCGATTTAGTCCCTAGACTATGCAATGTGAACCTCAATTTGGTTCTAAATAAGAACTAATATGGGTAATTTCAGCAATTCACTAAATGGAAACCAAATTTAGGACTCACTTTGCTCCTCATCTATGTAATTTGGATGATTGGATCCTATTTAGCACAAAACATACAAAATATCCTTCATAATTAGAGCGAACCATGTCTGGTAACTAAGTGAGCCTAAATTGCGTAGTCAAGGATCACATTGAGTAAACGCATATCTATAGTTGAGGGACTATCTAGGGGGTATAAACTCATGTAAAAGACGTGTTCATTATTCGAAGATATAATTTTTCTCTCTCGTGATTCTTTGTGGTGGTGGGTTGCAACAATCAGATCAAGAACACAAGAACTGTAAACCGCACTGGACAGTTAACAGGGTACAAGCTTGTGCCTGGCTCGAACTGTTTGCCATTAGCTGGTGCGGAGGCAAAGTTTATGAGAAGAGCTGCTTTCCTAAAACACAATCTTTGGGTCACACCTTATGCAAGTGATGAGATGTTTCCTGGAGGAGAGTTTCCTAACCAGAATCCGCGTGTTGGAGAGGGATTGGCTTCTTGGGTTAAACAGAATCGGTCCCTGGAAGAAACTGACATCGTTCTCTGGTTAGTGTGGCTGGTTTTATGCACTTAAATACAATAAACAAGTGGTTCTATGCACATAAAATTAATGTGTTTTGTGATTTACATTCCATTCGCTTATATAAAATGCATCCTACACATAGTAAAGTTGCTGAATGTGGGTTTTAAATTTCTCAAAATCTTGCAGGTACGTATTTGGAATAACACATGTTCCTCGGCTGGAAGATTGGCCGGTCATGCCTGTGGAGCACATTGGTTTCATGCTCATGGTATTCTTCTACTCTTAAGCGTTTTCTTTTCTATAAACTGATCAGAACCACATTTTTTCTGTTTACAAGAAAATGCTGATGTGTATATATCTATACTAAATTGCAGCCACATGGATTCTTTAATTCATCTCCAGCAGTAGATGTTCCGCCAAGCTCAGCTGAACCAGATCCAAAGGAAAATGGGGGTGACGACAAAGTCGTGCCATCCGTCATCTTTGGTCGCAAAGCTTTGATTCATTCATGGAAAAGCCCCACTGCCTCATTTGTCTATACGCTTGTTTCGTGTGTCTAATAATATCTACAATACTTGGTTGATTCCAAGCACGTCAGTTTTTTGTTTTTTTTTTCTTAAAACATTATCTGTTGGATGACCCTGTTAGGTAATTCTACTGTTTTAGAAAATATATTGGTCTTGGAGTATCTGATTATGCTCCCTGTCAATTCAGGAAAATGTGCCAATGGCTTTGTTACTTATAAAGTATACCTGATTGGTTTAGACTAGTTTGTAAGGTATGATTATAAAGTACTATTTCAATGTGTGACGATGTCTTTGGGGACACTTCTAGTCCGACAAGCTTCACAGAAATCCTTCCATCTTTTTACATGGTTAGTGTACTGTCCTCAAAGTAAGTTCTACATTTTGTAGCCCTTTTGGACATGTAAATTCAAAGCTGTGACATCCACATTGTTAATGAAAAAATATGCATATGCATAACAACGATTATGCTTGGACTCGGTGCGGGTCACCCGGCCCGGGAACCGGCCCGGCCCGCTACTGTGCGGGCCCGGCCCGGCCCGGGAAACCGGGTCCAGTTCCGGTTAGGGCCTAGGCCCGGAGGGGTCTACCGGTTCCGGGCACGGGTAAGGGAAAAGGGGAACCGGCTGGGCCGGGCCCGGTTCGGGCCTTTTTTTTATTTTTTTTTATTTTTTTTTGGTTTGGGCTGGGGTTAGTTGGGTTGGGCTGGGTATTTCCGAGGGGTTTGGGGGATGGGGGGGTGGGGGTGAAATAAATGAGAATAAAAAAAAATGAACCGGAACCGGCCCGAAACCGGTCAAGACCCGGGCCGGTCTTGGGCCTATGGATACGGAATCGGCGGCTTTTCATTAGAGGAGTCCTTTTCCTGTCCGGCCAGGAGGCTTCTCCGGCCACCTTCATTTGAGGTGGACCAGGTGGTTCTCGGTGGTATTTTTTGCTCAAATTTTTTGTGTATGTTCTTCATCAAGTCTAGTTCATTCATACCAAATTTGAGCAAAAACTTAAAATCGGGAAGGTCGTCAAATGATTTTTGCATGATAACTGTTCCGGAATATACATATAAAATGCAGTTATCATGCAAAAATCATTTGACAACCTTCCCGATTGAATTTTTTACTCAAATTTGGTATGGATGAACTAGACTTGATGAAGAACATACACAAAAAATTTCAGCAAAAAATACCACCGGGAATCGCCCCAAAAGGGGAGACCGGATGGGGTCCTGTCCGAACCGGCCGGACATGAACTTTTGTGATCATTAGAGTATTAACAATATTAAAAACAAACTGCATTCAATCAAATATTTAAAAATTAAAATATAATAAGTCATGTTGATAATTAAATTCTCCAAATGCAGAAAGCCGTTTATGCATTGTCTATGTTTCATCAATAATGTTCTATTTGGATTTTTTTGGAATCCCGTCCTTTAGATTTATTATTCATACTTTTTTATTGGGTTAGGTCCCCCCCCCCCCCCCCCCCCCCCCCCAAATTTATGTGTAATTTTTCATTTATGAAGGGTGGTTTGCCATCCAGGTTAAAAAAAGAAGCTATGTTTCATCAATAAAACAACAAGACTTGCTTAAAAGTGGGTCACATGTCTACACTCTACACAAAGCCATCTACACAGGGTTATCATGAAGTCATTTCATTAAAAAGGAAAAACAGTCCAATTATGTCCAACTTTTGTTTCGTCTTTTCAATGTACAAAAAAGAAAGGCCTTTCATTTCACATTTTGAGAACATAAAAAGGATTATTTTACATAGGAAGAGGCTAAAAAGAGGAACACAAAAAGCTTAAGAGAAAAGAAAGCTTTTTTTTGGGGGGGGGGGGGGGGGGGGGGGGGGGGGTCTAACTGTCCAAAGTTTCTTTATCAAGAAAGGGGTCTACCAAAAGGGTGTGTAAGTTAACGAGACGAAGGTAAAGGACGCCAATTGTTGATAAGGATCATGACTTGATTGCGAGAAGATGGAGAAAGTTGTTGGAGTATAACATTCTTCACATGATCTGCAGCCATCTCACCCGCACGTGTTGCAAGTTCCAGGTACAGCACAGCTTTCTCCATATCCCCTTCCTGTGGTAAAACACAACATTTACACCACATCAGTTTCACGCACTCAATGACAATATACTCCCACACTTTTGGCACAAACATAAAGAAGAAAGCATCTCTTTTGGTCCACTCACTTTATTAGTGTTTAGTTAAAATATATATTTTCAGAAAATGAGATAATAAAATCGTACATCCCAACAATGAAAGTAGGGACATTATCATTGAGAGGGAAGGAGTATCGACATATATATGACTCTGTTTACTAGAGGGGGTAATGCGATCACTTTCCACTGGTAGGATGGCCTAAGTAACATTTTGGATGATTCCAAGTTTTTCATTGAAAATTTCACAATATAGTATTCCATATATTGTATACCAATCCATTCATTTTTACTCCCTCCAGTAGTTTATTCACTGAGACATTATTTGCACTCTTTAATACTTTTCAGGCTATACACTAATATTATGATATTATCGAATACAATATCAATTTTTTTGAACCAAACACCACCTAAAGACATTGTGCATGTGCGTATGTGGCCATGTGGGTGCAAGAATTGTAAGAGGAGTAGAGGACCAACGGATGCATGGTGGGCAGGGGTGGGGAGTAAGATACCAAAAACTGCATGACTTAGCAACTTACAGAAAAAAGACTTAATCCATGGTCAAATTGAGCTTTACTGTGGCCCCGATCTGCTGCCCTCTTCATCCATTTTCTGCCTAATCGATGAGATTGCACCAAACCTTCTCCAAATGAGTAGCATAACGAAGTGTTATACATAGCACGTACATATCCACCTTCAGCAGCTTTCAGATACCACTTTGCCTGTCAAAGTCGTGCAAAGACCATTACAGACATATTTTAGAAAGTCAGACAAAAAGAACACATTTTTTACCGAGGAATAAAATTTTGATCTGTTATTTTTCCGTTTTGCACATCAATATGGAGAAAATTGCAAAAATTTCAGCTTCAATCCCACATACTATTCCAAATGCAATTGACGATTGGAAACAAATAGCAGTATCTGTTTCTCATATAAATGATATTTTGTATAGACATATAGGAGATGAAACATCAAAAATGGCTTAGACATGTTTATAGAACCTACAAATACAGAGTTTTCTTTCGTTTAAGGCCTCTCCATTTTTTTTTGTTTTTCATCTTTAAGTTTACATTGCTTTCTGTTTAGTCGGTTAACCCTTCTCCAACTCTCCACTGACCTCTGCTTAGAAAAATGGTTTGGCTCACGAAGCTTCAGTCTTGCGTTTCCATTATTGAAATTTCAAACATACTAAAGTTTATTCCCATAGAGCCATAGAGGCATACGTGAAATGGTGAGTTTCACTTAGCTCTACTCCACATAGTCTATGAAAAGATGTAGAAAGTTGACTTAGATAAGATAGAAAGACTTCTATGAACCACATCAATTTTTGTTTTAAATGGAGTATGACAGAGAATTGGAAAGGGACCGAAAAGAAAGAAACGTAAATTGCAAGGATGGTAAACAACATATAATAGAGGCACCTAAAACACAAAATGCTTTGATGGGATTAACTGAGTATCTAAATAAATAAAAAATGGATGAGAGTTACTCCTCTTATTGGTGATTTAAATCATTAGCTGATTCAATAATCAAATCTCCTAGGAATGCACTAAGGGCAGCCCGGTGCACATTGGTGTTCCCGCAAGGCGGGGGTCCGGAGAAGGATCCCACCAAAAGGGTGTATGAGGAGAGAGTCTTCCCTTGTCACAAAGGGGTGTATGAGGAGCAAGTCTCCCAAGACTTGAACTAGTGACTTCTCGATCATACAACAACACCGTAACCAGTGCGTGCTGCGCTATTGGGTAGAAATTAACGACTGCATGTAAATTTAAGACTAAAGTGTTATACCGCTTCCTGAAAATTCTTATTCACACCGCGGCCCTGATGGAAACACAGTGCAATTTGGTATTGAGCACGAACATGGCCAGCAATAGAAGCTTTATGCAGCCACTTAACAGCCTCTTCTGCATTTGGAGACTCACCTATAACCAGATATGAAAATTATTATAGCCCTAAACATTGACTGGTGCCACAATTATATATATAGACTACACATAGAGTATGCAGCTTTCAATCAACATATTGCTATCTGATTTTTGAACCATACGCTGTGATCATGCCTTACATGGATGCCTCTGCAAGCCAAATGATTACCAAGAAACTGAAATACACTACCGTCTGATAACTTTCAATGTTTCAAGATTTATCTCGTTGTAATGAAGTTGCTTCTGTATCAAATTTTTATTATAATTGAATTATCAAATTTAGGGAGAGTCATCTTTATAATCAGTCAGTAAATCATAACCGGAAAACCAATTCGGGACGGAGATAGTATATTTTACACAATTACACCCAAAATGCTCTACTAATAAAGCCTATACCTCTAGCATGTACTCTAAGGCTCCTGCTTTTTCTTTACAACAAGCGAGGAAACAAAAAAAATGCTGGACTTCACAAATTTTATAATGAACTTTTGCTTTGAGAATAAGAGTTAAGCTTCAATACCTTGCAATAAACAAATCCCCAAATTGCACTGACCAGTAGGGTCGCCTAGCATGGCTGCCTTTCTATACCAAGCTACTCCTTCGTCCTTTCTCCCCATCTCCCAATACAAAAGCCCAGCATCCACCATGGCCAGAGTAGACCCACGCGCCGCCCCTTTGAGGAAGCAATCGAGTGCCTTGGTCAAGTTGGGCTTGACCCCACCACGGCCATGCTTGAATCGCTTCCCCCAGCTGAGAAAAAGCATGGCCTCCCTCAAAGGGCGAAGCGCGTCGCTCCACGACTTGCAGGCCAGCGACGCTGTTCGCAGGTAGGTCCAGGAAAAAGTCGCCGCGATTTTAAGCAAGACGTCATAAGGGAGCTGAGAGTAGTCTTGGTCGCAGCGACGGTCAGTGTAGGGATCGGAGAACGGCGGCTTTAATTTAGAGGAAGAATGCGGCTGGGGGCGGGTAGTCTGTTTCTTGACCAAAGGGAGCGCGATGAAGCGAGGGCTGTCGAATTTCGCCGGCCAAGTCTTCTGCTTCATACCGCTGGCCGGCGGCGAAGAGTAAAGAAGAGTCCGTCGGTGGCCGGTGGAGCAGGGTTGGTTTGGTTTCTAAAATGAAGGAATTGAAATCTTCTTTCTTTTTTTGTTAGCGTGGCTTGTCGAAACTAGACCCGGAGTAGCCGCTGTCAAGTTAATGTCAGTTTAGTTTAGATGACTAGAATATTTAAGGATTCAGATCAGATCAAATCAGACCATATCAAATCAGATAAGCAAACTTCGGTCCAAACTACTCTTGTGTGATTTACTTTTACAAAGGTTGGCCCAAAAGTAAGTCTTACTTCGGCCCAAAAGGTTGGCCAAAATTGACTTTCACGTGGATTAATAAAGTAAAAACCGTTTGGTTGAAATTTGTGTAGAAGAGAAAGAATTGATTTTAGCCACATATTCTTTACTTTAAATGGAAATGACAAATCTTTTTGGAACATCCAAAAAATGAAATTTGGTCAACTTTTTCGGGACGGAAGGAGTATGAGACAATCCAACTACTCTTGCGTAATATGATATCTTGTGTTTAGGGAAAAGAAATAAAAAAAGGCAAAACTGTTGAAGGAAATTCTGTGTAGTGTGCTATCGTGTATATAGAATATGTATTAGGATCATTCTATGTAAACTGTCTATTATATGAGCCCATTGGCCCATCTATGTAAACCCTAATATCTTCCTATTTATAGGGTCTTTGATAATGAAACTATACACTCAATTCTCCCTACAACACGTTATCAGCATGTAGCCCTAAACCTATTTTTTTCTCCCGTTCTCCCTACACTCAATCCGCAGCCGGGCCTCCAGCAGTCCAGCCGCGCCGCCAGCAATCCAGCCACGCTTGGCCGCCTCCCAACACACCGACCGTCGCCCGGCCTCCCCCCTTCCTAGCCTGCGACTCACCAATTCCCGGATCTCTGTTGAGGTATTTTTTTACTCAAAAATCATTGCAGGATCTTATGTATATGATTTATTGCATCATGTTTACCATTGTGATGAACATCTTTGATTTTTTTTAGAGATTAAGTTGTCAATTTTTTGAGATCCATTTCTTGCACCCCAAGTGTTTGATGATATGCCTCATCTAATTTTTTTTATAGATAGATGCAATTTTTTATTATAATTCCGTAATGCTATATGTTATAATCATATAGTTGGAATTAATATCACATTATGCATCCCTCTTCGATTTTATACATCTATGTGATCATACTTTTTCGTAAAACTATATGCCATATACATATAGTTGGAATCAAAGATCACACGATTAATCTTATTTTCATGTATTTTATATGATTATATGATTATACTTTCCGTAAAGCTATATGTTAGATACATATAGTTGGAATTAAATTCATATTATGCACTTTTTTTAATTATTTTAAACATATTATGTGATTATATTTTTCCGTAATGCTATTGTCACTTACATATAGTTAGAACCATAATCACGTAAGATTACTATGTTTTATGTCTAATTCGTTCATTAGACCAATATTAATACTTTCTATATTAAAAACACCATATAACATCCTATAAAAATCTCTATGATTTTTTAAGGAGGTGAATATATATCTCCTCACTTCGATGCATTGTAAAATATTGTCTACAAAGAGACACTCTCATGATTATTTTTTTGTGATAAAGAATTTTCACACAAAGAATCGATTTTGTTTATACACAAGTTTCTGTTTTATATCATATGAACTACACAAGTTCATGAATGTACTTATGATCATGTAATTTTTTTTAAGATGGCTGACCATCTCAACTTGTATTTGGCATTTTGGCCTCGGATGGATTTGAGTACCATTATTCGGTTTTCTATATTAATTATTTATGTGATAAAGAATTTCCACACAAGGCTCTACAAATTTAATTGACCAATCAATTTGACCGGAGTTTGACATTATGCACTCAAATGAACTTGAGTATCTTCAACGCTTATTTTAGAATTCAATGCTACTCCGGCACACTTAGTGAAAAGCGAATCACAAAAGCTTATTTAATTTGATAGAAAAAAATTAACCATTTTTACACATACTTCTCTAGACATATACTAATGCACCAGTATATATTAAATAATTATGTAACTAACTAGCTTTTAGCTGGCACTAGTGAATGATGTTTATTGTTATTGTGTCTTTTTTTTTGAAATGCAATTACAATATTTTTTGGGGGATAAAGAAACCTCTCAAGAGTTATTTGGATAAAGAAATTTCCAAATAAAAAAAAATTGAAAATATAAATTTTAAAGTAAATCCCTTAATATAAGAGGATTAAATGTGATTATCTCGTCAGAATATATATAACTTGAAAATATACTTTTAGTTTTTATCTTCGTAGAATCTCTAAAGAATAAGAGATTCACCGCATGAGAATATAAATTAAGTTTCATGATTGTCTACTATTTTGAGAATAAGAACACTCTAATTATTGGGTTTATCCATTTTTTATTTTACTCTTTCATGAGTTTTAAAAATATGAACATTACTAATTCTAATTAGACTTTTATTCAAGTCTTACAGTTTGGTATAAATTATATTCGTTTGAGATTTTTAATTAATTTAACATCTCATTGTTCCATCTGAAATTATATTTGAGATGTTTATGCATTCGAATTCATTACATGCATATCTTTGAATTTTATTCATAAAAAGAATGGATACAAAGGAATATATCCACAAAATAGTAGAATGATATGTACCACAGTCAACCTGGGGTCATAGCACTCTAAGGTATATGGGTGACATTTATAAATTATTGAAATATGTGACAAATAGTGGTGATGTACAATAAATTAAGGAATATATTTATCGAAGTAATCCTTAAAATCAGTTATGATTGAAACAATTGTACCCATGTCCTCACCTAGAATGTAGTCATGTCATGAGTTTGAATCTGGTGGGGCTTCCCCGAACCCTCACAATGTGAGGACGCCAATGTCCACCAAGGTACCCTCAATGTTTTTTTACATAGAAACTCGCTATAAAAATGAGGGAAAATATTAGATTGCATCTAATAAATGCAAAAGAAAATACATATTTAAGTAGGTTATGAGTCAAAGTGGTCATTGACTCGTACAAACTTTGAAATAACTCATTTAGGTTATTAATTATTCGAATAAAGGATGATATGAGATCCAACACAATGTAAATTGTTGGTTTTAGCATTGATATATAGAAAAACAATATCAATCTTCTAAAGTACGAGAAGAAATATTTACCTTTCATTATGCCTTACAAATTTAGTAGAAGGCACGTCAGTTATTTCTTAAAGTTTACTCATTAGCAAAAATAGAATCGAGACGTGTCCACATATGCTAAGGAAATAACAATAAAGATATCTCATTTTTCAATACAATGTGATATGTGACGACTCATCTACTAAAATGCGGGCCATTTAAGTGATTATGGTTTGATAGAAATTTACTCATGCTGTCTATTTTCCTGTTGCATAAAAATGTTGCATTTGCAAAACTTCTAGCAAAACTTGTTTATTTAAGGCCCACCACCCGACCAATCAAATCTATATGACTTGTTACGGCTAGACAGTTGTCATCAAAAATACTTGATGATTATTGCATATATGTCGAGATCAATGAAAAGATCTCGCATCCCATGTGCAAAATAAGATCTCAATGAAACTCACATTTAAAAGAATATAGATGATGAATATTATATCTACTATGCACATGTGTATATATAATTATTTTCATGGGATTATGCAATATTGCAAGCACTCCTGCACATTTGTTTTTAAACCGATACTAGACAACCATGTTTATGTATACCAGTTGGTGACTGGATATTAGCCTGAGATGTTCTACTTATGAATATGTGGTTGTTAAATAGTTGTGCCTATTGCGTCTCCCACAACGCATTATAATCGGTTTTAAAATAAAAATGATGTTTATGTTGGATATGAATCCCCAACAATAATCCGCTACTAGCCTTAACAAATAATGTGTACACCGTTTTGCGGGATATGACTTTAATGGGACAATTGATTTTCCTATCATTAGGGGGAGATTAGAGAAAGAACTCTCTAATTGAATGACAAAATCATTATGATGTTATATCACTACTTTGTCTCAATGATAAATCTTAGACTTCAAAATGTAACATTGAAGTTAAAGTGGTATCATAAATGATTTAAGTAATTAGATTATACACACTACCTGCAAACATATTTATAAGTTTGAATTTAAATTAAAAGAAACAATGCTAAAGGAAGAAGCATTGCAATCACAAGCAGTGGGGTTGTGGTTGAGGCCGTGGCTCTCTAAATGAATAGAGGGAAGTCACATGGTTTGATTAATTATCCACCCCAAGTAGTAGAGGGTAGATAAGGCACAAACCAATATACTCGTCATCATATGAATTCCTCTCATGAGATTATCTCTGATTAAACATGTCCATGAATTTATAATGGGGGACGCCCCGAAGTTTAAATGATTTCAGAGAATTAAAATCTCAATGTTAATGAGAGTGTGTATGATTCGAATGATAGACCTTACACTTATACTGACGATATATTTATACAGTTGCTCAAAGGAGCATAGAGCACGAAGATATCGAACCATACTCTATTGCAATATGAAAGCAATGAGAATATTGGCCTAAATGCGTACAAGTAATCCAGGTATAAATTTAATATTTGACAAAGAGACACGTATTTGGTATGATAGTGCTAATCAACCAAGTGTAAAGCCTGTAGGACATGAAATATTTCTTTGTTAGAAAGCGTACTGAGATAATGAGGTCCTAATTATTCTAACAACGTCCTGGATTCAAATATGAAAAGTTATACCTCTCTATTTTGACCACAAAATGTTCAACTACTTAATCTATAAGTAGACTCCAAAGTAATGGAGACGCAGCTAAAGATTGTGGACATTAAATGTCCTAATAGAATTTCATTAAATAGATGTATATGAAGTATTTGTTATGTTTTTATTATCTTTAATCAAGTGGTTTTAAATTACATTGTATATTTACATTGAAACATTCACATTTGGATTAAATTAATCTAGACGAGAGTGACATACCCGTCTAATTTTTAAATATCATTTATTTAAATTTTAATGATGCCACCTACATAGTACTTGCATTTGTCGGCAGTCAAAATTAGACTGCATTCCCAAAATATGGACTTTGACAAAGTAGTTATAGTAAAGCTATTCGTTCCCTGTACCGCCAAAAAACTTCAAAACAGACCCATATAAAAACAGTATATAGACTTTGTTAATGCAATTATTTGATCTCCAATATAACCATATATAGACTTTGTTGATACAATATCTAGACTTTGTTTTCTTAAATAGTTGAGCAATGTTGTGAATACTGAATAGTGGAAGAGTCACAGTGATAGTACAATACATAAGAGCAGGTTTACAAACTGAGGTGGTATCTCTAATGTGAGTGGTTACTTGGCTGTTTTTTATAACTTACTTTTGCAAGGCGTTCTTTAGCAGTAAATAAATGAATGAGCATTACCCTTGGGCCCTGCCTGGTTCAAAGGAGGGAGGAAGGGGAGCTTCAAGGAGGGAAGGAAAGGGAAGTGGAAGGAAGAATTTTGATAAAAAATTGATTTTGGTTGGAAAAAATAGGAGGAAAGGTTTAATGAAAATGTTTTCTCAATTTACCTTTATTTCATAGTTTATTTTAAAAAATAGATACATCTTTAACTATTGTGAATATTACTCCCGATGGATAGTGTGTATGTGAGACCGCACCCGGATGTACTTGAATTTGAAATTCAGTATGTATTTGGATTTTTCTAGCGAATGATTTCGTGTAAAAGAATGACATATTTAATTAATGAATGATTAATTAAAATTATTTATCGAGTCCATAATATTGAGAATGGACTACCAAATATTTAGTTGGATCATCATAATTTATAGAAGCCCAATAAAATGCCAACTAAGGTTGAGGAAAATGATTGGGCAACCCGAATGCTATTTCGGCCCAACCTACCAAAAACAGCAGGAATAATTTGGAGGGACTTCCTACACACACTTGGGGATATGTTGCAAGCCTCTTAGACTCAAATAATGAGGAGGAGGACATGAAGTGAGGGTGGTGTGCGGATCTGTGGTGGAAGGGATGACACAAGACATGTGCACACCCCATATGGATCCATTCTTGGCAATCAATTTAGTCTTTGATTGAATAGGAATACTTCCCCCTATTCATTGTGCACCACTCGGTCATATCAAGAGAGGAAGATCCCTAGGAAGAGCTCTCACAAGGTTCAAGGTTGGAAGAAGCAAGGGGAAAGAAAACCCAACACAAAAGGTTGGGATTTGAGGTAAGAACACAAGTATTATCCTTTAACTAGTTTTGTGTTGATATGATTTTTAAGAAATCATATGGTGGATTAAATGTGAAGTTCTACACGTTTAAAAGTGTAGAATATTGATATAAAGTGGTAGTATTTAACTTAGAAGAGTTGTGGAATCGATAGGAGTCGACACCGCCGGAAAACCGCCATTGTTGGGGACTGTTTTCGAGCTGCAAGCCCGAAAGTTGCCCACCTTTTGCAAAAGCCGCCCGGCTTTTGGCTGCTGCCCAGTTTTTCCACTTTCAATCGGCCTAGAACGACGATTGATCGAAGGGTTTAACAAAGACAACTATTGTAGCACATCACAAGGTGAGGATGGCTGACTATGTTGCTTATAATTAGTGAGTTAATTTCATGAGATTACCTAAGGAAATTAAATGTGTTTTTATGGATTATTAATAATTAATAATGCCTAAAAATGAGAAGACTATTGTCCATGAGAAAGGAGCATGATATACAAATTTAAGAATAAATTATGTATGATCATGTGTTATGAGTATGTTGACTTGAAAATGGAATTAACTATGAAATGCATGTTGAAATATACTTTTTACTTCATATAAGAATATATGAATGATTAAAAGTGATGTTTTGGTATATTGATATAATGATGATATTTACAATGGAAAATCAGTGGGGCATTCTATAAATGACTATGAATAGAGAACTTGGTTTTGTTGGAATTAATTGGACTAGTATTGATATACTAGTTGGACATTAAAATGAAATCTTGTTAAAATTGATCCTAAGGTTGGATTGTGAAGTATTATGCCTTAAGTAATCTTAAGAGATGCTTTAAGGTAGGAAAGTATGAACTTTAAGTTATACTAGGGGTAGGCCTTAAGGGATACCCAAGATAAATTGAATAATAATAAATTGATCCTAGGTATAGGATTGGCCTACGGGCGTGTTCGGTAGTCCTTGAGGATAGCCGGTTGAATTATGGGAATAAGTAAGGACCATGGCCCTTCCCGACTCTAGAGAGCGGGGTTGGATAACATGGACTTGCATCGTGATCACGGGTTAGGGTGGAATCCGAATCGGAGACCTAACTAGGCTCCCGTAGCGGTAACACATAAGATAGGACCCTGAAGGGCCTTACCTTCCTACGGGATGATGGGTATGTGTCCAGGGGCGTGATGTTGAAATCCGAACCGAGAACCTCATGAGGTCTCCGACAGCGGTAGCAAATCCCGTAGAAACAATAAGACCCACGGGTTGGGTTGTACAAATGATAAATGCAAGGAAATATATAAGAAAGGCTGTGTGTCGACAAATAAATGAATTTACTTATTATAGAGATAATAAGTGTGAAATATAAATAAATATTTATATTATGATATCACCCTACTTTGAGGGTCTTAGAAATTAAAGCGTTGATTATACTCGGTATAGTTGTCATTGTACTTGTCAAATGCTTCCAAGTACTGACCTCCCCTTCACGGGGGAGGCCACCTCACAGTTTCAGGTAGGGGTTGAGCTGCTACCATCGCCCGTTGCTCCGGGGAATCAAGGGAAGAAGACGTGGTTCGTGCTTCTCCCATTCTGTTTTAAAAACACTTATGTTAATGCTCATGGATATTATTTTTTGAATAATTATTTGGGGCTTGTAAGCCCGTGTTTGCCAAAGTGTGCCATAGACACTTGTATTAAATGATTCCGCTGTTTTAAATGAATGTTTTACATTATGTTTGTTTATGGATGTACTATGTGTGAATGGTATTCAAGACGCCTTGTATAGTATGGATGAGTTGGACTACGGTTGACTATTCGTACTGTACGGCGGGTTGTTAACGTGTCCGGGTAGGTCTGGGGCGTGACAGTGTACCCGGGGTAGCTTATCCGAAGGTTATTGTAGAGAATAACTAGAGAGAAGTCAGAGCAAATAAGTAAAGAGAAAGAATGTGTATTCGAATATGAATTCAGTGTGGTTTACAATGGGGAAAGAGACTGCTATTTATAGCAGCAATAAATGCTAGACAAAAGACGTGTCAAGTATCCGACGGCCGAGGGTCACCTCAATCGGGGTGGCACCGACATTTGCATGTGACCGCATTAAATGTGGTGGTTGGATGCGACGTTGTACTTGGTACGGTGATCGAGGCGCATGTGGAGAGGAGATTCTGTCGAGGAGGGTGCCTTCGGCTGAAGGGTGTTATACCGAAGGCTCTCCGAACCGGGGGCCTCCTCCTACCGAGGGCTGTATCAACCGAGGGCTCGGTTTTCACGCCTTGTTCTCCTGTGATGTTTCTGAGTTCGATTTTGTCAGCGGTAGCCTTCGATCATGGGGCCGAAGAGCTTCATTTTGCTGGGTTTGGCTCATTTTGGGCATGTTAGGCCTGGTTGCAGTAGTGGGAGTACGTGTGCCGGGGGTCCCCGGGCCATATACTCCATCAACTCCTAAGGTCATAAGTTATAATATATTTTTTTGAAATTTTGATTTTTTCCTTTTTAAATTTGTAATTTTTTATTTTTAATTTTTACTTTTTATTTTAGAAATTTTCAGTTTTGAATCTTTGAATTTTCAATTATTGAGTTTTTCATTTTTTTACATTTCTTTCTTTTTAAAATTTTTAATTTTATAATTTTATAATTTTTTAGTTATATAATTTTGTAATTCTTAATTTTTAAAATTGTAAAGTTTTAAATTTTTAAATTTTTAAATTTTTAAATTCTTTAATTTTTTACTTTTTAAAATTTTAACTTTTTAAAATTTTTACTTTTTAATTTTTTTATTTAATTTTTTAATTTTGCATTTTTAAAATTTTTTATTTTAAATTTTTTTAATTTTGTTAATTTTTTATTTTTTATTTTTTATTTTTTTTTTATTTTTAGTTTGATTTTTTTAATTTTTTAATTTTAAAAAAAAATTATTTCTTGCCTTTTTTATATTATTGTAACGTTCTGTCCATTCAACGGAGATGGATAGTTTGTGGTTATCAACACATTTCCTTTGAAATACCACAATTTAGGGGGTTGAGAATGAGAGGGAGCGGAGGATTTCGGAAGTCTTCGACTTTCCTCCCCTCCCCCCTACTTCCTTCAACCAAACACACACAAATCACTCACTTCCCTCCCCTCCAAAACCCTCCAACCAAACAGGGTCTTAACTCTTAACTAACAATCAAGTTCACACAAACACCCATTTTTGCATCATTGTAGTTTAACAAAACCACATTGTATAGCCGTATAGGTCACAAATCACATGTAATTACAAAGAACAAGGCATGTTCACTTATTGAATGTGAGAACGTAACACAAAACAAATATATCCTTTCAATAAAACAATCATGTTTGATAGTTTATGCACTTCTATTTATTGAGGGTTTATAGCTTCTTTTGTTGTTTGAGGCAAACAAATAAAAAATAAATACAAACGCAGCCTAAAATAACCACAACAGGTACTCAATGGCATGTCATTGCATGCAATAACTAAATGGTTTTCAATGAAAGGTCTTTCAACTGCTGAGGATCCACTTGAGAAGGTGAACGAGTTAGAGCACATTGGGCAGTTGTTGTCTTTGGGAATGCTATAACATCCCTGATGGATTGTGTGCTTGCCAAAAGCATCACCAACCTATCCACCCCATAAGCAATACCTCCTGCCACATTCATAATAAAAACAACTGGCCCTTTAATAGTTTAATATAACCATGATGGAAATGGCACATGAAATTTGGCTGGTTTCTGTTTTTTAACAACAGGGGAAGAAGATTATGAAACCAAAATACTACGTATATAGTACTCCCTCCGTCCCTTAAAACTTTGTCCCTTTTTGGGACGTCCCAAAAAACTTTGCCACTTTCCTTTTTAATCAATTATTTTGTGATTTCTGTTATTTCTCTCTCCTCTGCACAAACCTCAACCACACAGTTTTTACTTTATTATTCTCCGTGCCGGTCAACTTTGGCAAAGTTTTAAGAGACGAAGGTACTATGTTGTCTGGGGATGTTGAAGACTTGAAGTTACATGGATCTCTAATAACTCTAATTTCCTGCAGCAAATGTCTAAAATTGATTTTTTTAAGTGGATGAATGTGGTTATTCTTTTTTCTCAAATAAATTAATTGACAGCAAAATAGTTATGTGCAACAAAATATAATGAAATTGCTACAAATAGGAGTAAAATGTGATAGAGTGAATAAATAGGAGCATTATTATTTTATCCCAAAAATAAGACTCATGCAGGTTTCATTTGAGGAAATACGTTATGTTTTAGTCCTATTTAGTTATTTTCCTCATAATATACATACCATGTGGAGGGGCACCCATATCCAAAGCCTCCATAAGATAACCAAACTTTGCTTCTGCCTGCAAAGAAAACAGATAGTGTTGGCGCACATTTTCAAACAGGTTCCTATGTATAATTCAAAATGGAGCGCATGACGACCATCAATCCTTAGATGCTTCGTTTGTTAAAAAATCCTGGAAAATGATTTGTAGCCTTTCATGTGTTTAGTTAGAAAGACATCATTTTCCTGAAACAGTTTGTGAAAATGATGTTCAAGGAGAACTTTAGTTTTCCTGGAACAGATTTTTAACTTTAGTTTTCTGTTTTTGAGGGCTAAACATTATATTCTTCATACAACTTATTCTTATGAGAACATATTCCTAGGAAAGCATTTCCATAGCTACTTTTTTTTGCAATCAAACTGGAACACCACATAGAACATATTTCAAATGACTGGTCTTTGCCAGTGGAACACCACATTTTTTAAGAACATATACAACCGTTGCTAGTTTTTAATGCATAATTTAGTTTAGGACCACGGTGAAGGTTGGCTTAGCCATTAATTAATCGATAAGCTAATTCCTGAAGGTTAATTCCTCATAAGAGAGAAGAACGTTAGTGCTTCCAGCCACTGGATGTTTGTGATGTGAGTAATTTCAAGGACTACTTAAGCAACTCACCTCATTACACCCAGTGTCCCAACAAATAACACATTATGATATAATACTACGTAGTTCATATACATCAGAAAAACCATTTGCACAAGTAGCAGATAGAACTAAGGCTCCGTTTGGAGCATTGAAAATCAAGGGGAAGAGCCAGGAAGGAAATTTTAGTAAAGAAATAAAATATTGAAGAAAATAAAGTATTAGATCACATGAATAATTTTTTTTTAAATGATTAATCACATTCAGTTTATATGTATTCATTTTTATTATAAAAATACTAAACCGTCAAATATATGATAAAATTTAGAAATATCAACCATATTCCATTTTCTTATGTAAATCCAAGCATTAGAAAATCACTTTCTTCCTTTCCATAGTATATTCCAGAATCCAAAAACAGCCAAAAGAATTTCTCACCTGTTCAGGGGAGATGCCAACCATTTCCAATACCTTTTGCTGCACATCCCGCTTGTGAATTCTCAGACTACCTCCTCCAATCTTATCGAGGTTGGATAATAAATTTATATTGTCAATACTCTTTTTAACAGTCAATCAGTTGGTACTATCGAAAATATGAGTAAAAACCACCTCAACTCCATTGTAAACCATATCATATGCTAGGGCACGTGCAGATGCAAGGTTGTTCATATCTTCAGGGTTTGGGGCCGTGAAAGGGTGATGCAAGGCCTGAAAAAGAACACAAATCTTTAGAAAGAGATCATAAAATTTAGAAGAAGTTTACAATGGAAAAATGTAAAAGTGAATTACAATGCAGTAGTGGTGATTACAAGTCACTTTTGTAGTGACTTCTCTGAAAAAGTGATTTCTCAATACTCCCTTCAGTCCTATTTTTTCTCAATACTTTCCATCATTTGCAATGGAGCCAAAGATTCATTATTTTTTGGCTTGAGATTATGATGGAATAAAGCAAAATGGCTCACTAAACTGTTTGCGCTTCTTTGTCATGAAGCAGCAGTCAGTCCATGCAATTTTGGACGGGATTTTCACTATGGGTCATCCGGAAACAGTCTCTTTGTGCTTTAGTACATGGGTAAGACTGCGTACATCCGACCCCCCCTTACCCCACCGTAGGTGGGAGCCTTTGCGGCACTGGGGTAAATGAAAATGAAAATGAAAATGAATGAGGTAGTGGTGATTACAAGTCACTTTTGTAGTATCAATGCAGAACTAATTTCTTTCATAATTATCCTTCCTGAAAACATTGAAACATACACTCCGAACAATGTTTGAGGGCACGTAGGACAGTGAGAATTATTTTATATGCTTTTAATCATTTCCTTGGTCAGAGTGAAAGCCAATATTGTGACTTACAAGAAGGACCAGAGAGAGTAACTTGTTCCATGGCTATATATAGTAAAATCTACTATTTTGACATTATCCAAACCTCAAACCTCTGTTCTTGATCGTTCCACTCAAACATTGGAAAATCAGTCACCCACAAGATTGAATGCCTTGACTGTATAAAATTACCAAGCAACAAAACAAGGTCGTGAAGTTAAAAAGAAATCTCCAATAAATACAATATACGCAGTCTGAATTTCTATATTCACAAACTTACTTCATCCACTAAACCCAATTCATGGGCTATATATATTCTCAAATGGTCCAATGTCTTATTGACTGGTGCATGGTGGCCCAATGCAAACAAGATGAGATCATCTGCACTCGCAGACAATCGCTTAATTAATTGCTCTTTCTGTGTGGCATCCATGCTTGAAACGAGCGGGGAAATCCCTTCAATATCCCCTGGAAACCATATCAGAAACAAAGCAAATTACTAAAAATGTTTGGCAGCGAATGTAAGCTTCACTTTGTGGCTATAAATGTTATCTGAGTAATAAAACTATTCTATGGATGAGTTTTTTATGATTACCATTATTCAAGACCTTTATGAAAGGCAAACCCTTGGCACCAGATTTAATAGCTTCTCTGTAAATGTCCCCTTTCTTGAGAGCAGTGTTAGAATAGGTTTTTGCACCAGATGGGACACATATTACTTTAATTATCCCACCACTTGTCAAAGCATCCGCAAAAACCTTAAAGCTGGAGTTCCTAAAAATGTCAGATACCTGTGCAAGTGAATGTATAAACCCACAAAAATCAGGTATTACCAATAATTAATTGCAAAGCACCAACAAGAAAACATGACATATATGCATAAAAACAAGTACTCTCTGTCCCATTTTGTTTGTCACTTTTACTACTCATGCGGTCCACCTAATTCCTTTAGGTAGTTGAAAGATGATGAGTGTTAGACTAAAACTTTATCACACAAGAATAAATAAAGAAATCATGGAAAATAATTGCATGAGAAATCAACAGGAATATTACATCTTTCAGTTCAAGATCGAAACGAATATCTGGCCTATCCGAGCCATATCGATCCATTACGTCAGCATATGTCAGACTTGGAAAAGGATCGGGCAACTGGACACCTTTGATATCTAAAAAAACCTGTAATGGATAATGTCTCATAGCTCATATAAAATGAATATAAATACAATAAAGAAAATCAAAGCTGGTAGGTACGGCCACACATTGTTGGAAAATGATCAACAAGAATCAGATCACCACATATTACAACCATGGGAAGAAGCTGCTTTAGAATTTGATTTTAAACCAACGTATATTTGCTAACCTTTCTTATCAATTCTTCATTAAGCTTGAGCACGTCCTCTAAAGAAGTAAAGGCCATTTCCATATCCAGTTGTGTAAATTCAGGTTGCCTATCTGCTCTTAAATCTTCATCCCTAAAACATCTGCAATGAAGAGCATATAGATTCTGACTCCAATCTTATCATCCTCTCTATTATTTTATCCACAAACAAGAAAAAATAAAGTAGCTGCAAACTAACCTTGCTATTTGATAATATTTGTCAAAACCAGATACCATCAGCATTTGCTTGAAGAGTTGTGGACTTTGAGGCAATGCATAGAATGCTCCTGGCTTGTTTACAATGAAGAAAGGTACTACGTCATAAACAAGTTACTCAAACCTTAAAAATTAATTTCAGCAACAATTGACTTCCAAATACTTGATAATGAAGGTAAAGCTTAAATTTTACCATTCTAGAAGGGGAAGTTTGGTAAGATGTAATGAAATGTAATGCAATGTAATAAAATTTAAATTTGCACTACCTCCATCTCAAAATGTAAGATACCTTCGGGATTGCCATAAACTTTGAAAATGATGGAGATTGTTGTCATTTTACAATTGCAACTTTCTAGAAGCAAGAAAAAGTAGTACAGGTCCACATAAAGTAAAATGTGAAATGATATACGTAGTAAAAAAGAATAAAATGTGAAAGTAAAAAGTTTGTGGAGTTCAAATTAGGAAAGTAGTCATAATCTGGGACAAAATGAAGAGTAAGCAGTATTGATAAGTAATACCACCACTAACAGCAATCTTAATAATAATTATAAAAAAAATATTCGATGACATAAGGCATGACATGAAATACTTTAGGCACTTGATCAGAAGGATTCGAAGGATCTGTGGAAGGGTTACAAATTAAAAGTTTCAACAAAACACATCTAAAGAAAATAATTTTGAATGATACAATACCTGTATTCTAGAAGGCACTAAATAGTCCCGAGCACCTTCAGGAGTAGACCTAGAGAGGATTGGAGTCTCAACCTACCTCGCAATCATGAGAAAAGGTAGGATCCACACACAGAAGAAAGCAAATACAGAGAAAGCTTATTATCATGCATTAATATAGAGATTCAAGTGGCATTGCATGCTCAATACCTCCACAAAACCATGTTCATCCTCCAGGTACCTTCGTATCGATTTCACCACGTTATGTCGCAGCAATAAGTTGGAATGCATTTGTGGTCGGCGTAGATCAAGACACCGATACCTACAATCTACCAAAGTAATCAATACATATAGCTAGCAGCAGCATGCTTCAAATATAGTTGTTTTAAGTACCAAGAACTAGCTTTTTTTAAGAAAAAAAAAGTCAAGACAGAAAAAAAATACAAGATTGTAAATACAAGGTTTATTTTTCCAATCAAACTGTTTCACTCTTTAAAAACAAAACTGTTATCCGTATTATATACACAGTACTGAGTTACTAACTATTATTGAGGGGAAGGATGAATTTATTATGATGTGAAATAAAACAAAAACAGAAAAGGGAGCAATGGCAATGAAATAAAATATGACGCTGACAAACTGCAACTGACTGGAATAAAAGTATTTGAAGCATTTGCTGTTCTGAAACTGAAGGGAGAGTCAGAGAGATATAAAAAAGACTTCAAATTGACAAGGGAAAAATAAGGAACATTCTGTGCATGCATTTTTTTTACTCCTATAAGTCAACAAACATGAATGCACTACCAGCTTACCGCAATCGTATTTCCTCTTTAGGAGATTCTTTTGAATCATCAGCTGCAGTAACCAAGAATGGCAGCTTTATATGTACTGCATTTAACACATCTACATGCCTTGCTGTGACCTGTACAAGTAAATAGCTTTATCATATTCAATCACTATAATGCACTATAGAGAGCAGGCATAAAAGAAACACAGCAGAAACACAAAATAACAGAAAACTCCCAAAAAACAAGTAAAAGCAGCAAAACAATTTCAATTTACATATTTAACCACATAACTTATCTTAAAATGTCAAAGCTTTTGCTTTTCTAAATATTCCGCAATAAGATACTTCAATATGGTATGTTTTTCTAAAGCTTTTGTCAAAGCTTTTGTTTTTTCTATTATCTAATGATGAAACAGAATTAATGGTTAATGCCAGATAAACTGAAAATAATGCAATTGAGATGATAGGGTATGACTATGTGACTAACCTCAATCATGCCAGTCTTCATCTTCTTATTGACGGATTCACCAGGCCGAGGCCGCACAACACCATCCACTGCTATGACATATTCAAGTCTTAAACAATTTACAGTAGAATGAGCCTCAGGAAAATCATCTGGAAGTGTAGTAATCTGTAAGCAAATTCCTACTAAAGATTAGTGAAAAATGACTATCAAATTGGCTTCAGGACTATCTATCTACAGTGTATGCTTTTAAATGAGCTTGACACGTGGGTAGATTAATGTTTCTCAAGAAAATATGATCAGCGTTATTGCATCAATACCTGGACAATTCCAGTTTGATCTCTGAGGTTGAAAAAGGCGAGGCCACCGTGAACCCTATGGAGGGCGACCCACCCACAAAGCCTGACCCGTTTACCCACATCGGATTCGGACAATTCGCCGCAGTATCGCGTGCGGGTGACCCATTTCAGCATCCCATTTGATTGGATTGAAGGAATACTGGAATCAGTTTCTCCAAAAGAAACCGGAGTAGCAGCAGCGGGAGCTGGGACGGAGTGTGACGAAAGGCTACGTTTTGGGAGCGCTCTGAGAACTAACGATGGATTGATGGGAGAGAGATAAGTGAGAGAAAGGGGTTTGAAACGAAGAGAAATGGCGGGAATTGAACGAAGATATATGGACATGGCAGACAGACTGAGGTGTGCAGGTGAGAGTTCAGTGGCTCACAACATGAAGGAAATACGGGACAGCCAGCGCAGCCAGTTTGTCGAATGTGATGCAAATTAGCTGGGAAATTTTCACAAATAACCTAAAATTGAAAATAATTTCATTTTTTACCATCTTAGATTCATATTTGAAAAATAAGCTAAGTAGTTTACTATTTTCAAAAAGGTCCATATATAATATACCCAATTTAGAAACTCATAGCAAGTCGTCGTCCCCAGCGTGCTAAATTCGGAACCGATCACATTTTTCTAAGCTGCGTAGAAATCCAACGATCTAAGCTCTTCTTACCATGTAATTACAAAGTTCAATTAGCCATCTCCAATTCCACCGATAAAACAAGGTCCGATTAACAGCTATATGATCATAAATTATGAAGCTAGAATTCGTTTAGTGATTCATCGGTCAGTAAGTTTTGTTTCTGGTTTTGAATAATTGTAAGTTTTGTTTCTGATGAATGATTTCTTCTGTTGTTTACAAAATAAACTGATGAATTCAATAAATGTTGTTTTTGTTTATGGACATTGCAATACTCTGTACACTTATTTGTAGTTCATTAAGAACGAACGATGTTTATTATTAATAATAACAGGAAACGTGGAAACAATTCCTATTTTTGTTCATCACGATGGTCATTGGAATGAAGGAATGGAGTATGTGAACTTCAATGTGTTTGGAATTACTTTAGCTACAAACAGTTCTTATCTTGAGTTGATTGCAAAGATAGGAGACATGATTGGGATAGAAAGACAATCATCTACATTGATAATTCAATACAAAGTCAGAGAGAATTATCCACCATTGATTATAGAAGATAACTCAGCTCTATTGTTTTATTTACACCTTAAGAAACAAGAGATAGATGTGACCAAATTCCCTCTCTGCATAAACCTTGCTGATGTACATGAGGAAATAACTTGCAACATGTTTCATGGGGGATATCAACAAGAAAAAACAAGTAGCCTGCAAGCAGTGACAATGTCTGAAGATAGCTCAAAAATTAGTGAAGAGTTGGACATTAATGGTTTTATATTAGCTTGGGCAAATAAAACAACTGAAGCACTACTGCAACAAAAATGTGTGGAGTTAACATCAACAAATTGCGTTAACAGTGACGTTCATCCTGAAGAAGGACTGATTTACATCAACAGGGATGAGTTCAAGAGAGCACTTAAGATGTATGCTATCAAAAATCACTTCCAGTACAAGGCACATAAGACAAATAAGAAGTATTTTGCAGCAAAATGCTTGCACGAAAATTGCTGCTGGGAGATAAGATCAAAGCAAACTGGAACCTTGGGAAGGTTCATTGTTGTGAAGTTTATACAAACACATTCTTGTAGATTGGAAGTGAGATTAACAGATCAAAGACATGCAACATCTAGTTTGGTAGCAGACTGTATTAAGTCTAAACTAGTGGATCCAAAAACATCATATAATGCAATGGATGTACAGAGAGATATGTTAGAGGAGTATGGCATTGAAATAAGCTACTTAAAAGCGTGGAGAGCAAAAGAAAAGGCATTGATTAAGCTAAGAGGAAAACCAGGAAGAGTCCTACAGGTTTCTGCAACAATTCATGAGTATGGTGAAACAAACAAATCCTGGATCTTTTCTGGAAATCAAAGTTAATGAAGACAATACTTTATATATGCATTCATGGCAATCAATGCATCAATTCAGGGATAGTAGTTCTGCAAACCGGTTATGGTAGTTGATGGCACATTCCTGATTGGGAGATATGGGGGCACACTGTTAACAGCATCAACACAAGATGCATGTGGGAAAATATTTCCACTTGCATTCTGTGTTGTTGATTCTGAAAATAATGAATCATGGAGATGGTTTTTCTTAAATATTAAAGAAGCTTTTGGTTATAGGAATGTAATGGTAATTGTTTCTGTGGATTTACGTAAACAATGTTGTATTACGTATATAATTTGAAGTATAATTAGTTAGAGTACGTTTAGTCTTTTAGGGATAAGATAGCTTAGTTGTTATTCTGTTCCTAGCATTTAGTTCTGGTCCTATTTTGTAGGATCTGTAACCTCCTGTACATGTGTATTTATACACCTCCCTGACTCTTGAATAATTAAGTTATTTCAATTATTCAAACCTACATGGTATCAGAGCTCTCTTTAGAAATAGCCGATCAAAAAATTCAATGACTACTCCCGTATCCCAAACCAGCTCAAACCCCACCCAACCTCTTATGTCCTCTTCCACCTCTTCAGTAGAAGCAATTCATTCATCTATGCAGGTTACTGTTCATAGACTGAATGGAAGCAACTACTTGGAATGGTCTCAATCCGTAAAGTTGGCCATTGATGGTAAAGGCAAACTAGGGTTCTTGACAGGTGAGACCAAAGTCCCAGAACTTGATGAACAAAATTACAAGGTATGGCGATCGGAGAACTCCCTGGTCACTGCATGGCTGCTTAATTCCATGGATGCTTCAATAGCTAGATCCCATATGTTTCTCAAGACAGCGAAGGAAGTCTGGGATGCTGTTCATGAGACCTATTCAGATCTGGAAAATTTTGCACAAACCTTTGAGCTGAAAACCCAACTATGGAAATCCAAACAGGGCCAGCGTGATGTGACCACTTACTATAACGAAATGGTCTCTTTTTGGCAGGAACTTGATCACTGCAACAATGATGTATGGGAGAACAAGAATGACCAAGCTCGCCAGAAGAAACGTGAAGAAAATGATCGTGTCTTTATGTTTCTTGCTGGTGTGAATCAAAGCCTTGACGATGTCAAAGGTAGACTTCTTGGCCGTAGACCTCTTCCATCAATCCGTGAGGTCTTCTCAGAAGTTCGTCTTGAAGAGAATAGGCGCAAGATCATGAGCACGGACAAACATCTGATGGACGGTGACAACAATGCAAATGATGCCTCTGCACTGGTAGTTCGAAACAACGAACAAATCGGTGACAAGAAGAAGAAACCCTGGTGTGATTTCTGCAAGAAGTTGTGGCACACTCGTGATACATGCTGGAGGATTCATGGCAAACCACCGGGATGGAAACCTAAATCCGATCGAGCCCTTCACACCATGGTTGAACCCCCTGAAGTGCAACAAGTCAAATCAGAAACGGCCCAATTCACTCAAGGACAAATAGACCAAATCCTGAAAATCATATCTGAATCTGATAGAGCCTCTTCTGGTAATCTTATTTTATCACAATCTGTTCCAAATGGTAACTCTTATGTGTCTTCCTTTAGTTGTTTTCAAACTAAAACCTTGTGGATAATAGATTCCGGGGCTTCTGATCATATGACAAATTGTTCCAGTTTATTTTATTCCTATAAACCAAATGCTGGTAATAGGAAAGTCAAAATTGCCAATGGTTCTTACTCAACTGTTGCTGGTATTGGCAACATTAAAGTCTCTCCTTTCTTAACCTTGTCTAACGTGCTTCATGTCCCTAAGTTTTCATGCAACCTCATATCTATCAGTCAACTCACAAATGATCTTCATTGTTCTGTTAAGTTCACTTCCTCATCTTGTGAGTTTCAGGAATCGGTCTCGGGAAAGATGATTGGCAGTGCTAGAGCAAGTGATGGTCTCTACATCCTAGATGAGGAAACCAACTTAAATAAGGAAGCTCTAGGAAGTTCATGTCTGCAAACCGCTTCTGTTTTGAGTAATGATGAAATTTATTTGTGGCATTTTAGATTAGGACATCCTAGTTTTTATTACTTGAGAAAATTGTTTCCAAATTTGTTTCAGAATAAAGATCCTTCAGTTTTTCAATGTGAGATTTGTGCTCTTGCTAAACATCACAAAAATACATATGCTTCCCATCCATATCAACCATCTAAACCATTTGCATTGATTCATACCGATATTTGGGGTCCCTCACGTATCACAACGTGTTATGGCAAAAGGTGGTTCATAACTCTAATTGATGATCACAGTAGAGTTTGCTGGGTATATTTGTTAAAAGAAAAGTCTGAAGTAGAGCAAATTTTTAAAAACTTCTACAACATGATACTCACACAATTTGACACTAAAATTCAAATTGTTCGAAGTGATAATGGTAGGGAGTATTTTGCACAAGTTTTAGGAGATTTTTTTTAAAGAAAAATGGATAGTTCAACAAAGTTCATGTGTTCAACAAAATGGTAGAGCTGAAAGAAAAAATAGACACATTTTAGAGGTGGCTCGTGCCCTTATGTTCTCTACCAATATTCCAAAATACCTATGGGGTGATGCAGTTTTACATTCTGTTTATTTGAAAAATAGGATGCCATCTAAGGTTCTTCAATTCAAAACTCCAATTCAAATGCTAGAAAAGGAATTTCCTAATTCTAGATTAATAAGTTCTATGTCAATGAAGATATTCGGTTGCACAGTTTTTATTCAAAATCCCAATAGAAATGCAGGGAAATTTGAACCAAATGCTAGAAAGTGTGTCTATGTTGGAATAGCCCCTAACAAAAAAGGATATAAATGTTATGATCCCACGGCTAGAAAACTATTCACAACAATGGATACACAGTTTTTTGAACATCAAACTTTTTTTGGAAATCCTTCTCAGGGGGAGAGTCGAAATATTGAAATGAATCAAAATATGTCACAACCTTACAAAAATTTAGAAAGCATTGCAACCAATATTGATAGATCTCACAACTTAGATTTTTTATTTTTTGATCAAGGAACACAACATGAGTATGACGTTCAGTTGGAACCTTTAATGAATAAGCCAACAAGCACTGAAAATCGTAAAGAAATTGATTCACAATGCTCTGTGCAAAGTCAAACTCCTACCAAGGTCACTGAAAACTTGCATGAGAGTCCAATTCTTGAAAATTTGCATGAAAATCATTCTGAAAATAGGTTGCGGTTTCAATCATCGAAGTTCTTTGGGCAGACATATAAAAGAAGGAATTCTGATCAAAGAATAGAACTTGATACTACTCTTCATGGCCATGAATCAGACCCAAGATCAGAAGAACCATATCGTAAGTCTTCAGACCTTGATCTTCCCATAGCCTTAAGAAAAGAAAAACGCTCTTGTGTCAAATACCCAATGTCCAACTTTATCTCCCTCTCAAATCTGTCCAGCTCTTTTTCTGCCTTTGCCACTAACGTGACTCAAATTCAGATTCCTAGAAATATACAGGAAGCTCTAAATGTCCTAGAGTGGAAAAAGGCCGTTCTTGAGGAGATGAGTGCACTAGAAAGGAACCAAACATGGAAGGTTACAGAATTACCGAAAGGAAAGCCAACAGTAGGGTGCAGATGGATTTTTACTCCAAAATTCAATGCCAATGGAACTCTCGAACGCTACAAAGCCCGTTTAGTAGCCAAGGGATTCACACAAACTTACGGTATTGATTATACGGAAACCTTTGCTCCCGTTGCTAAACTAAATACCATTCGAATTCTGTTATCTATTGCACCAAATTTGGACTGGCCATTAAATCAACTTGATGTTAAAAATGTCTTCTTAAATGGCAAATTGGAGGAAGAAGTCTACATGCTACCGCCACCCGGATTTGAAACAAAGTTCGGCTCTAAAGTGTGTAGATTGCAGAAGGCCTTGTACGGATTAAAACAATCTCCAAGGGCGTGGTTTGAGAGATTTACTAAAGTGGTGAAACAGCAGGGATATGTGCAGGCACAAGCTGATCACACTTTGTTCACTAAACATTCAAGAGATGGAAAGATGGCGGTTCTCATTGTCTATGTAGATGACATACTTCTTACTAGAGATGACCAAGTAGAAGTAACAAGGCTAAAGAAAAAGTTGGCACAAGAATTTGATATCAAGGATCTAGGCGAGATGAAATATTTTCTTGCTATGGAAGTAGCACGTTCCAGCAAAGGCATAGTTGTGTCACAACAAAAATATGTTCAAGACCTACTTGTGGATACAGGAATGAGTGGTTGTAAGCCAGTGGATACTCCAGTTGATGCAAATAAGAAATTAGGAGGAAATGGAGGAATTGAAGTCAACATTCAGCAATATCAGAGGCTGGTTGGTAGATTAATTTACCTATCTCATACCCGCCCTGACATAGTATTTGCTGTGAGTGTGGTAAGTCAATTTATGCACAAACCACGTGAAGAACATCTTGAAGCTGCTTATAGAATACTTAGGTATTTGAAGGGTTGTCCAGGAAAAGGCCTTTTATTTAAAAAAAGAGAAATCAGGTCTGTTGTAGCCTTTACAGATGCTGATTATGCAGGATCGGTGACAGACAGAAGATCCACATCAGGTTACTGCACATTTGTATGGGGAAACTTGGTCACCTGGCAGAGCAAGAAACAGACTGTTGTGGCTAGAAGTAGCGCCGAAGCAGAATACAGAGCCATGGCAAATGGAGCTTGTGAAATTGTGTGGATCAGCAGAATACTCAAGGACTTAAAAATTGAAAACAGACCGCCCCTGAAGTTGTTCTGTGATAACAAAGCTGCAATAAGCATAGCTCGAAATCCTGTACAGCATGACAGAACTAAACACATCGAAGTAGATCGGAATTTTATAAAGGAGAAACTCGAGAATGGAACATTCTGCATTCCATTTGTTCCTTCACAAGATCAAATGGCAGATATTCTAACAAAGGGTCTATTTAAACCGACCTTTGATGTACTTGTTAGCAAGTTGGGAATGTATGATATATACGCTCCAACTTGAGGGGGAGTGTGGATTTACGTAAACAATGTTGTATTACGTATATAATTTGAAGTATAATTAGTTAGAGTACG